GAAAGATGGCACCATCAAAATTCACCACCATGGATAGGTCTAGTATATTATTGTTAAAGAACTTGGCTCAAGGGATAAGTTGGCAAGGGATTATTAGTCACCCATTGCATATGATCTTGGGTAAGTCTCTACTCATCATCGCTCATTGATTCATTAATTTACGCTCCATTTGTTTCGATGCAATATATTTCACATAATATTTTTTTCAAATTTTTTTTTTCCATAAAAAAAGTTTTCTTATGTTTTGTCACGCCCCATTTTTCTTTATTACTCGAAGTCATTACCAAATTCATTAGCTTAATTCAATTACAAGGATAACATGCGGAAATAAACCCATACATTCAATTCGTAGAAGTGATTAACGATAATCTCATTCGTATGCAAAGTAAACATTACATGAACATACTTAATAATTTTCCCTTGGGCTTACATCACTTAAGGTACAAGAAGAAGGGTGTAACCCTTTTTACAACAATGGCATTCTGCCAACATAACTGAGGCCCCATGGCCAGTAAACAAGTAAATCCCAATCTTGCAGCTCAACCTGCTTAATACCTGAAAAAGATTCAACAACGTGGGATGAACATATAGTCCAGTAGGGAACTCAACATGATCTTCAACAATAACAACTTACAGATAGCTATGATCATGAACGCTCATCCTCATACTAGAATAGTAATGTGACAGTTTATACAAAATATAAATGTATGAACTTTTCTCGAAAACAACCGTTTCATTCAACGCTACAAGTGGTTTGTCTTTCCTTTTTCCTTTCATTAACCCCCATTCCCAATCTTTCTTAACATTAACAAATACTTAGGAAGTAATCACACTAAGCCCGATACTCTCTTCCATTTCATATACATACTCAGATGTACCTTTTCAAACATGTTTATCTTTAAAACATACGTTCTCCTCCACACTTTCCAAAGGACAAAAAGACATTTTGGTTCGTTTCCATTACTATCATAACTATACATGCATATCTTTGTAAAAATATAAATTTACAACCCACCAACATGTATACAATCAACCAATGGAGTAACTCGGTCCTCCGAACTGTAACTAATCAAAATCCATGATATTTTCAGTTACAACGAAACAACAACAATCCCACTTTGCTCTACTAGCTATGTGTGTAGTAAGCCAACAATATACGGAAATAACTACAACCAACTTCGCTCTACTAGCTATGTGCGTAGTAAGCCAACAATACACCTTTTACAACAACATGCCAGTTTACCAGGCGCTAGCTGGAGGGGTATGGTACCTTCGATTATTAGCGCAGACAGTTCTCCAGGCGCTAGCTGGAAGGTAACGGTACCTTTGATTTTAAGCGCGGGATATAACACCAATAATCACAGCACATCAAGGCATAACCAACATGTATAATGCATATACATAAACTATCAAGACACCAGCAATGTGTTAAAGCATAAAAATAAAGATAGATAGATCGTTTGTGAGATCAATTGGAAGCAAGAACAGAGAGATAATCAGAAAATACCGACAGAGGGAAAATTGTTCTGTTTTCTGCTTTCTCCGCAAGCCTTTGAAGCCCATTTACCCAAAAAATAAAGATAGATAGATCGTTTGTGAGATCAATTGGAAGCAAGAACAGAGAGATAATCAGAAAATACCGACAGAGGGAAAATTGTTCTGTTTTCTGCTTTCTCCGCAAGCCTTTGAAGCCCATTTACCCAAAAAATAAAGATAGATAGATCGTTTGTGAGATCAATTGGAAGCAAGAACAGAGAGATAATCAGAAAATACCGACAGAGGGAAAATTGTTCTGTTTTCTGCTTTCTCCGCAAGCCTTTGAAGCCCATTTACCCAAAAAATAAAGATAGATAGATCGTTTGTGAGATCAATTGGAAGCAAGAACAGAGAGATAATCAGAAAATACCGACAGAGGGAAAATTGTTCTGTTTTCTGCTTTCTCCGCAAGCCTTTGAAGCCCATTTACCCAAAAAATAAAGATAGATAGATCGTTTGTGAGATCAATTGGAAGCAAGAACAGAGAGATAATCAGAAAATACCGACAGAGGGAAAATTGTTCTGTTTTCTGCTTTCTCCGCAAGCCTTTGAAGCCCATTTACCCAAAAAATAAAGATAGATAGATCGTTTGTGAGATCAATTGGAAGCAAGAACAGAGAGATAATCAGAAAATACCGACAGAGGGAAAATTGTTCTGTTTTCTGCTTTCTCCGCAAGCCTTTGAAGCCCATTTACCCAAAAAATAAAGATAGATAGATCGTTTGTGAGATCAATTGGAAGCAAGAACAGAGAGATAATCAGAAAATACCGACAGAGGGAAAATTGTTCTGTTTTCTGCTTTCTCCGCAAGCCTTTGAAGCCCATTTACCCAAAAAATAAAGATAGATAGATCGTTTGTGAGATCAATTGGAAGCAAGAACAGAGAGATAATCAGAAAATACCGACAGAGGGAAAATTGTTCTGTTTTCTGCTTTCTCCGCAAGCCTTTGAAGCCCATTTACCCAAAAAATAAAGATAGATAGATCGTTTGTGAGATCAATTGGAAGCAAGAACAGAGAGATAATCAGAAAATACCGACAGAGGGAAAATTGTTCTGTTTTCTGCTTTCTCCGCAAGCCTTTGAAGCCGAAATCTGAAATTAGGTACAAAACATGAAACCAAAGATGAGCCAGCAAACGATTTTTTTGTCTTGCATTGCCGAATTAGTTTCAAATCTCTCCGAATCCCAAACAGTACCTAACAATGGAGAGGTTAAATTTCCAACCCCCCCCAAAAAAAAAACAATGATTCCCCCAATTGCAGAGTATATAAATGAAGCAGTAAACAAATTTCTGAAAGGGAGAGAGTTTTAGAAGTAAACCCAAATTCTCTGCCAATTTATTTTTCTAGGTTTTCTTTCTCAAAACCCCCAAAAAGAGAAAAGAGATCGGAGGAAAGAAGAATTGAAATCAAAGAGCGAGAAGGGAAGAGGTAGAAAAAGGGAGAACTTACCTTGCGATGAAGAAGAAGAACGGGAGGGAGAGGGAACTTGGCGCACTGGGTATAGAAGAAGAAGAACGGGAGGGTGAGAGAGATAAAGAGGGAATGGGGTGGGTGAGAACAGAGAAGGGAGAGGGATAAAGATAGAAGGGAGGGGGAGACGTGGGCAAGTGGGGAGGTGAGAAGAGAGAGATAAAGGTAGAATAGAGGGAGACGTGGGTAAGTAGGAAGTTTATTTTTTTTTTGGGCGGGAAGTAAGTATAGGTATATATTGATATATATTTAAGGAGTAATCTCAGTCATTTATGTAAATAGGTAAATGAATCTTCACCATTCAAATGTCTTAGTAGGACATTTGTCTCTACTATAAATTCAAAAACCGTTCTGTCTTATTATATAGATATATATATAATAAGAATTTTTTTTTTTTTAACAATATGATTTTTCAGTAATGAATTATTAAGTGACCTAATTGCAGAAGTAGAGAACTCATGACCCTTTCCCAAATATTTTTGTTTGTTTCATAAACCTAAATTACGTTTGACTGAGTACAACAATTTATTTATTTTTTGATACATCACACTAGCGAATTGTTTCTACATCAAAAAAACTTGGAAGGCAACATTTTTATTTAAGAAGAGAAAAATAATAACCTTAAAGGCACCAAAAGAGGGGAGCAACCTACCTGCGTATCTTATGTAAACATGAGATATTCGAAGCAGAAACAAGGAGAAGATATAAGAATTTTTCACAGTTATAAGATTTTTCGTTTTCACATTTAAGTCTTACAAATTAGACCATGTACGGTATAAAACATTCAGAGGAATATATACTTACGAGCAACAGGGTTGCCATAAAACACTGCATGAAAAAACAAATGAAGTCCTAAAAGAACTCACCAAGGGCTTGCAAAATCCATAATAGGTAGCATTACCAAGCAAGTTACAAGCTCTCGAGCAATGCACCGAACCAGGGCACATTGAGCTTCTTGTGGCCTCAACAATACAGCTAACAACCCACCTATAATTTGCTAAAGAACCTGTAGCAAATAAAAGCATCAGAAGGCATGCTAACAATAAAATCAATAAGTAGAAATTTTTCATAAGAACACTCACCTTGTCTCACACTTGGGAGAAATCAATGTAGGGTGATGCTCCTTTGAATAAATAAGATGATGTTTCAAACGTTCATCTCTTTCTTCTGATGACAGTGTTCCCATTACATCCACACCAATCGCAGCTTGGTGTCTTCTGAAAAGATCTATGTGATCCCCTACTAAGTCAACTATATCCCTGACACATATGACAAACAAATGCTTTTGTTATTCAGTTACTAAACGGTGCACAACAAGGACACACTACTAAAAAAAGTACTTTTTGCGACTGCTATAAACCGTCGCAAATAATAAAAAATAGTTGCAAAAAACCTTTTGCGACAGCCCATGCAACGGCAAATGGGGGTCGCGAATATGGGGGTGGCAAATACTTTTTGCGACGGCAAAGCAACAGTCGCAAATTATTCGCGATTGCCTAGACTACTTATAGCAACCGCTATTTTTCCGTCGCAAAAAAAAAAAAAAAAAAAAAAAAAAAACTAACATGATTTTTGACGACCATCTTGTTACCGTCGCCAAAAAAAAAAAATCCATAAAAATATAATGTTAAGCACTCTAGGAAGAGCAATGACAAGAATTCAGACAATATAACATTGTAGTTTAATCAAACATTCCATTTGAGTTTCAAAATTGGAGCCATATGTGAAAGTTATTACAACTAAAAACTTGAAAAAAGTTCTTTTATGAAAAAAAAAATACAATCCAAATAGAATGCTAGTAAAATCAAAATCTACAATGCTGGTGTTCACCATTGTACAAGGTATCGGTTGAGTTCTAATTTGTTACCATGGAGAGATATGTTCCTCAAATCCAAGCTTACACCTGATCAATACACATTATGAGGGGGAATAGATTAGAACACAGAGTACCCAATTTCTAGATCTTTCTTTAGATATAAAGCCTCAAGCAAAGCAAACATTGCAAAGAAATTATGGAAATCAAAATAGACGGTCAGAACACAACCCAAATGCCATTTACAAAACAGAACAAGAGTGGTTCCATATGAAAACAGTTATGATGAGTGCATGTGCCTCTCCTCTGATGATGAACGAGTTGTGCCCAAATTTCTAACTCAAATATATACCTTCAGTAACAAATGATTTCAGATTAGATAGATGTTAGTCGGAAAAGATTAAAAAAAATGTCCTATCAATTGTGAATAAAATGAGGATAAAAGCCCTCATTTCCACCAATGAACCCAGTCAGTCATGGTTGACGAACACAATACATGCAAGCAAAGAGAGATTTGTGCCACGTTGTGTCACATAATCATAGTTGATGACACATAAGAATCTTTTGAGGATATGCGAGAGAATCCATATACCTGAATTTGACTTCTATTCCCAGCAGTGATATTTGATATTGTTCGGCAAGCTTATTTCTTGATGCTTTTCTTGTGATTTTGTGTGAGAAGTTGATAGAGACAAGGGAGGACATGGTTGTCAATCACAAACTAAAACAAATTAAAAGAATTAATTTCTCATGTGGGGGAGAAGTATATAAAGTTTGTCAATGTCAAACAAATGAGAGAGAGAGAGAGAGAGTGAATTTCAATCTTTCTCAGCACTCTCATTCCTATAAAATGCAGTTTTACGTGCTAAATTTATTTTTTAAAAATGATCTCAGCATTCAGCTTTTCTAGTACAAGAAGCAAAGTAAAAATCTTTCATTATTTCACTTTCATAAAGAATGATTAACAAGAAGTTCAAATAAAAAAAACAGGGCTGCCAAATAGTAAAACCAAATTTTCTATTCTTATCCGTGCCAGAAGCCTTCTCCTCGTTCCTTTTTTGATTTATCAATAATTTTTTTTTTTGTTGATAAAAAAAAAAAAAGAATCAGAAGCCTTCTCTAGGAAGTCCTTTTCCATCCATCTTTTTTCACTACCAGAATGCCAAAACAAATCTACTACAATAAGTTGTAATATATTAACAAATATGGTAATTGTATTGATTACAAGAATATCATCTTCGATGTTGGTATTAGTACAGAAATGCAGTGAATGAATATGAAGAATTGAAAATATTGCATCAAACTAATATTATGGTAAGAACTAATAGTACGGAAGTAGAAATCATTATTACCTGAGTTTGGGCATCATCACCATTAACAATGTTTCCCACTGTCCTAAGTGCGAGTACAAGAACTGTAGGCGATGGATGATTTGTGAAAAACAAAATTTAGTTAGTTAGTTAGTACTGCTTTTACAAATCTGACCACTATAAAGAGAATAACACATGATGACATTTAGCCCAGAGAAAAAAAAAATTCCACTAATTTGCAAAAAAAAAGAGAATTTTTTTTGAAGAACTAATTCTAGAAAACTAAAAGACATACCAAATTTAAAATCAATGTCACAATGAAGAAGTATGAAGCAAATAGGAACATAAAACAGAAGCTCCACAAGCCATGGACAGACACCTGCCTCAAGCACAGCTTGAATTTTGTCATTTCGACTAAGATGAGAATTTTCCTGAGAAACTTCATACACAGATGGTATAGGTGGGGACCTGGTTCTTTTTGTAGCCTGAGCATCCACATTCTTGGTTGCAAATTTTTTTTCTAGAATCATAAGGTAAGACTGCAGGTTGCTCTTGGCGAGTCCATGAGTTGCTAAAATTGCCTGGCAACTTTGCCTGGTTACCCCATACAGGGGGAGATACAGCAGTTCTGTAAGACAAATCAACAGCATAATCAGATAAATTTGGGGAAAATTACACATATCTTAGGATAAACTATGTGCTACTAACTAGAGCATGTCCGAAATGAACAGAAAATTCTCTTAATAAAAAGCACATGACTTTAACCATTTATCCCAAATTTTCATCAAAAGCAACCAACATCTACAATAGCAATGTCATAGAACATGGTGCATAATAGACAAACTTTCAATGCTTTTATCCTCCAGATGCAGTGGAACTTGTTACTAGATTCTAACCTTCCACTTGCATTGCTTGAGTACGAGCAACATGCTTAAATTTTCCATAACATTAACAAATACACAGTAACGAGCACTTGCCTACACACACAGAAGGCACAGCTTATGTTACAAATACCTCTGAGTTTCAACAAAAGGACCAAAATTGTCAACATAATGATGGTTTTCTGGGAAAAAAGGAGGTGGTCGTGGCCTCTGAGGTACAAGCTGCCCATGATCATTGAAGAGTGAATTTGAAGGCCTACCCAAATAAACAAAGCAAAGGTCGTTAGATACTCAAAATAAACTGCAATAGAAGACCATAAGTCTTAAAAATGCTATTTGTCATGTGGAACAAGTGATAGAACGATTAGAATAAAATTGATAGATGGGTGAAGGGAAATGCAGTCCACACACAGATAATTCAGTAGAATGATTCACGATCCATGAAATAACAGAACACACCCATACGAAATAAAATAAAATTAAAAAACAAGATAACTTTTAGGATGCAAGTACAGCAATTCTGAATAAATTATACGAACCTGCCAGAACGTGTAGTAACCTCTCCACTCGTGGGCATATATAAAGAACTCTTTTTCGGGTCCACAATGCCAGAACTTATATGGAAACTTGAAGATCTTCATGTACACCATCACATCACATTTCTCAATGGCCTCCATTTTCCACCTCTGTTTCATAATTTTATTCATTTGTTAATTTTCAAGTATATAATAATAGCAATAAAGGAGAAGATCATGTCAGCAAGCATTCTTAGGTGAATGGACCACAACCAAGCATGTAGAATAATTTTAAAATACTGTATATATTTTAAAATTATGTGAAGATGTTATACATGTGCATTGGTTCAGCAACTTCCTACAAAGAATTTCTAGGCACAGAAGCTCAACCATTTAAACAATTCAAATAATACATATTTAGCATTGTAAGAAGAAGGGGAAAAAAAAATTTCATCCAAACTAATAGAGAGTTTGTTTCACATGCATATTTTGAGAGTGGAGAAGGAAAAAAAAATTGGTCAAAGTTAAATTTCAATGTAAGAAGAAGAAACGAACCTCGTTTTATCTTTTTATCTAAATTTCTTATTTAATAACACTTTAAATTAAATTAATTTAACTACCTTAATTTATTATTATAAAAATTAATCGTCAAACTACTTTAATCTAGTTTTCAATTTTTAACTCAATTTTTTATTTAACAACATTTTAAAATAAACATAAACATACATATATTAATTGGAACTGTGTTGTATCCTTCTTAGGCACAAGAGTCACAATCAAGGACACAATATATTAATTGTATCAGAGTATACTTAAGTATCCATTAAATTCAATAACAAATTTTTTTTTGGTGGGTAAATGTGATAAATATGTCTGCTGATGAATTTTCCTTACTTTCCAATGGAATTCCACCTCATTAAATAAAATTCGTAATGCAGAAACAAATAGTATTGATATGGGAATATTCATCCACATTGATTTACTCGTGTCTGCAATGAAGAACAAAAGTTTAGGAACAGAATCCAGTACATAGTAGTGGAGTAAATGGGGCAGAGGGCACAATGTAAAATTTCAGAACTTTCTTGTTCAAACATAAACCAACAGCAGACAAAAAGCATCCCACAAAAGATTATAATTGAATCTGTTGGGATGGTCCACCTATGTAGACGAGATAGAATAGTACCGAATCCCACGTCCTCTAGGTAAATATGTACCAAGTGACTTATAAATGTACAATGAGATGTTCTTGCTGAGTTACTATTTGATCCATCTTTCTTCCTCTAATGCTGAGCAGCTGCCCCTATTAGCTTCATCCTCAATTTACTTGGAGATATTATACCACCGTACATTACTCATTTATTTATACCACCAAAAAAAATTTAAAAATCGAAAAGATTAAAAAAAAAAAGAAATTCAGCATTGTAATAGGATCATTTGAACACTAAAGCCCCCCATTCAAGAATTTCATTCAAACACCATAATGAGTTCTCTTATCTTACTAATTCAAAATTTGAAAGATTTGTTTAAACAAAAATCAAATATTTGGGAAACCCATCAAGATCAAGCTCTGCCCAATTGGAACTTCTCTAAATTATCAATCAGTTAAAAAAAACAATAACAAAATGAACAAACAATAAGAACAATGATAAATAATCTACCAATTACACAGTGAATCTCCCTCGCACCATATTTTCCAGAACAACTGTAAGTGTTGGTGCAGTGCCTATGTAAATGCATATCTATATATATATACATACCGCCTAATATATATAATCTAGGGTTTTAATAAATCGTGTCTCTGTGACGATATTTGTCGTATATTTGCAAATACCTGGTTTCAACATATTAGAGAAACAACAAAAAAATTATTTTCATTGCACAGACATGTATTCGGATTCAACACAATGAGTGAACATTTTTTAGCTGATAAAAGTCAATGGCAAGAGGAAATAATGGAATGACGGAAGAGAATGTTACCTGGATAGAACAGAGAGAGAGAGAGAGAGAGACTGCGAGCTGTGCAATGGCGAACGGCTAGGGCTCGTTTGCCCACCCTAGCTATTGCTAAGTGAGTGGTGAGAGGGGGAGAGGGGAAGACGGGGGAGAGAGTGTTTGAGTTGGGCACTAAAGATGAGATTAGGGTCGATTGAGAGAGAGAGGGGGGGTAAGATGAGATTAGGGATTGGGGGTTTGTTGAGCGGGAATGGGAAAAAAAAAAAAGTGGGGAAGGGGGCGGGAATGGAAAATAAAAAGGGGCGGGAATGAAAATAATTTTTTTTTTCTTTTCAGAAATAAAATTTAAATAACAAAATAATATTGTTTATATGTTGTTTAACTTTCTTTTCTTTTTTTTTTTGCGACGGGGGTTATCGTCGTCAAAAAAAATTATTTTTTGTTAAAAATATATATTTTTTTGTAGTTAATGATTTTTTTTTAAAAAAATCTTTTTTTTTTAGTTATTAAGATTAAAAATTTATTTGTTTCATTTTTATTTCAATGAAAAAAATATTATTATTTTTTATTTGGTAGAAGTAGGGGTAATATTTTAATGAAAAATATTTTTCACTAAAATAAAAGTTAATTTTCTGTGGTCAATGAAAAATGTTTTTCTACGGCCCATTTTTTTTTATTACTAAAAATCATGAACTAATTTTTTGTGGTAGAAGAGAAGGAGTGGCAGTAGTGGTGAAGGTGGTGGATAAGAGATGATGGTAGTGGTAGTGGCGGCGGCGAAGGAGATTAGTGGTGAAGTTGTGGTAGTGGTAGAGTAGATGAAGTGGCAATGGTGAAAGAGAGGTAATGGTAGTAGTAGTGGTAGTAGTGGTAGTAATGGTAGTGGTGGCAATGGTAGTAGTAATGGTAGTCGTAGAGGTGAAGTAGCGACAGTGGTAGTAATGGTGGTAGTGGAACAGCGTTTGCAGTAGTGGTGAATGTGGTAAAGGAGATGAGTGGTGAGAGAGAGATGAGTGAGAGACAGATAGAGGATAAAGAGAGAGAGAGAGAGAGAGAGAGAGACAAACAGAGACAGAGTGATGAGCGAGAGAGAGAGACAAAGTGGTCGCTAAAAGTGCATTTTCTTGTAGTGGATAAATAAATCAAGAGGGAGCTTACTAAATAGAGAAGGCGGAAGGGAGAGAGTGAGCAACGTGAACACAGTAGGAGAGAGAGAGAGAGAGAGAGAGAGAGATGGGGACAAAAAGATAAAGAGATAGAGAGTGAGAGACAGAGAAAGAAGAGAGATGAACGAGAGAGACAGAGAGAGAGATAGAAAGAAGAGAGATGAGCAAGAGAGACATAGAGAGAAGAGAGATGAACGAGAAAGACATAGAGAGAAGAGAGATGAACAAGAGAGACATAGAGAGAAGAGAGATGAGCAAGAGAGACATAGAGAGAAGAGAGATGAACGAGAGAGACAAGAGAGAAAAGAGATGAGCGGGAGAGACATAGACAGAAGAGAGATGAACGAGAGAGATAGAGAGAAGAGAGATAAGCGAGAGATAGAGAGAGGAGAGAGATGAAAGATGAGAGAGATAGAGAGAAGAGAGATGAGTGAAGAGATATGGAGAGAAAAGAGATGAGAGAAGAGATAGATGAGTGAGAGACAGAGAAAGACAGAAAGACAGAAAGAAAATAGTGATGAGTGAGAGAGAGAAAGAGAATAGAGAGAGGAAGATGAAAAAATGGGTGAAAAGATATAGACAAAGAGAGATAGAGAGAAAAAAAGAACGAAAAGAGATAAACGAGAGAGAGACAGAGAGAGATGAGTAAGAGAGATATAGAGAAGAGAGATAGAGAGAGAAGAGAGATGGGAGAGATAGACAGAAGAGAGATGGACGAGAGACACAGAGAGAAAGAGAGAGAGAGAGAGAGACAGATAGACAGAGAAGAGTGATGAGTGAGAGAGAGAAAAATCAGAGAGACAGACACAGAGAAAAAGAGAGAGACAGACAGACAGAGAAGACTGATGAGTGAGAGAGAGAAAAATAAGAGAGACAGAGACACAGAGAGAAAGAGAGAGACAGACAGACAGAGAAGAGTGATGAGTGAGAGAGAGAGAGAGAAGAGAAACGGAGACAGAGAAATAGGAAGATGAAAAAATGAGTGAAAAAGTTTCGTGTCTAAAGCCTCATTTTCTAGTAGTGAGTCGTCTCTATCATTCACGGGTAGAATAGAGGCGTGGATTTGGGAATTGTATATTTTATATAAAAATCAAATTGAAATATTTTATACAATCACACCTATTTAGGGCTGGTGCGGTAGTGGTGGTGGGTGGCTGGTGGTGGCCGATGGTGGATGGTGGTGGTAGATGGTGCTGAGTGATGGTAGCGGGTAGGTGGCAGACAGTGGATGGTAGTGGCGAGTGGCGGGTAGATGGCAGGTGGGTGGCAGGTGGTGGCGAGTGGTGGCGAGTGGGTGGCAGGTGGGTAATGGTGGCGGGGGGGTGGGGGTTGACCCACTTGGTGAAGTAATCAGCATCATGTCCAGGACACGTGACACCTCGGCTGGCACTTCGATGCCACCTCGGCCACGTGTTGTTATTTAAAAATTATGTCCCCACATTTTCCATGCATTATTTTGTACCTAATACCAATTCTATATTATGGATCCATTGTTTAAATTTTACAATGATCTATATACAAAATACTTAATTTCTTACATTATTTTATATAATTACCACTCACATGAGGAAAACTTGCACAATAATGATACTCTCCAGGAACCTTTAAAGTTTGGATTTATGGTGAATTACACTAACGGTTCCTATAGTTTGAGACTTGTGTTACTTTAATCTCTGACCTTTCAATTGTGATACATTTAACACTGAATTTTGAATCTCGTTCTAAATAAAGACAATTGAAAATATTGTTGCTTCATTTCAAAGACAAAGTAGTCAATTTGATAAAATATAAACTAGTTTGACAAAAATAAACGTCAAAAAATTATTTCAAAATTTTTAAAAATTACTAACCACTCGAAAGATAAAAATTATATAAAAATGATAATTAATTTTTATTTTTTATTTCTTAATCAAATTAATTTTTAATTTTTAAATTTTTTTTGTAAAAATCAAACCATACGTAGCCTAAGAATATTTTGACAAGCCATTTCTTATGTTGGTAACTTATTTAATTATTTGTTAATTTTACGACATTTTTATCATTTGAAGCCTGTTTGGTAACCATTTCATTTTCAGTTTTCAATTTATATTTACAAAAATTTAAAAAATCGTTATAAATACTTATTTGATAATTTTTTTTATTAATAAATGGTTGTCTCAATTTGTAAATTTGAGAAAAAAATGTAAATTCAAAAAATAAGTTTATGTTGGTTTTTAAACAGAAATTTACAAATTTTACTAACAATTTTTTTTTTCAATTTATTTTTTTTTCAATTTATTTTTTTTCAAATAATTTTTTTTCCAATTATTTTTTTTTCAATGAATTTTTTTTCCAACTAATACTAACCGAGGGGGCAATTGATAATGCTACTTTAAACCTTAGGGAGGGGATTGTAATTTCTAAAATGTAAGGGGTGTCAATGTAATTTACCCAGTAAGGAAAAAATTAGTATTTAAAAAAATTAAATTGCTAAGGGGGGAATCTGTAATGAAACTTTAAACCTCATGGAGGGAGATGTAATTTCCAAAACGTGAAGGGAGAACTGTAATTGTAAGAACCCACATTTTATGTCTTAATCATGTTCATGAGCATCTGTATGATTATGGTTTGTTAAGCTTGCATGTGTATGTTTGTGACTTGTTTCGCTTAAGTGAGTGAAATCCATGCCTTGATTTGATACCTTTGTGTTTTGTCTAAGTGTAGTATGCTTGTCTTGTTCCTTCCTTGATGTGAAACTTAGGTCACGCCTTGCCTGAGTTATGATTAGCCGACGTTATGCCAAGCCTAGGTTACGTTGCGCCTAGACCATTCCGAGCCGAGGTCATCCTCAGCCTAGAAGTATCTTGAAACCCCTTTTGTTGACCACCATCCTTGCTTTGATGCATTAGCCGAGATGTTACCTTGCACCCAAGTGATCTTGTCCTGGAGTGGTACGACCTAGACCGAGGTGTGGCACATCTAGGCCAAGATGTGGCACAGCTTAGTCAAGTGTTGTCTTTCCTAGCCGAGGTCATTGTCACCTTAGTTGCCGAAGTCCTTTTGTTAGCCGATGTCACCCCTTGCCGGAGTGCCTTTTCGTGTAGCTTGTTAGATACGCCTTGTTTTTAGCCGATGTCATTGCCCCGTCAGAGAGCCCATACCGTTTTGCTTGTTGAACACCCTTTCACCATGCTTTGTCCAGTCTGTCAGCCACCTTTTCAGGGAAAACCCAACCAGTCGCCGCCACGTGTCTCAGCAGAGGGTTAACCCCAGAACCGGGTAAAGAAAACTATCATTTGGTATCATAACCTTGCCTTGTAGAGAGAGAAACTCTAGGAGGAAGAAGGAGTTTTAGAGTGAGGAAGTAGATCTTCAAACTTGATTCCTAGAGATCGAACCGTCAGATCTGTGTTCTAAGGTTAGATTCTTGATCTGCTCAAGATGTTCTCTATGTTCATGTTATTGCATTGCATGATCGGACTTGATTTGTAAGCCATGCATCGTTTTGAAGTTCGATTTTAGAAAGAGAAAATGACATTCATGTGTTCTTCAAGAAAGTCATGTTTTGATCCGAAAGCTTTTTGCCTAGACTCATGTTTTGTGTTTGTTCTTGCATGATTTTCAACTATGGGTACCCAGGTCCATGTTTTCAAACTCGTAGCATGAAAATCCCAGATTTGTGATAACAGATTGTGATCGAACATTCATATTTTTCATGTTTTCATACTTATGTTCTTCATGTTCATCAGCAGAGGGAAACCCAGAGTTCCCGACCTCTTTTCCTTGCATGTGGCCCTCGGGAACACACCTCGGCAAGGAGGTGTGGAACCTCGGCCTAGACCTGGTTAGTGCCCAGCATGTTTTCCGAGATCATTTGCATACATAGGAGACTTGTTTGAAAGTGCATCCAATAGGCTTTGCCATGTGTTTGTAGGACTTGGGACCCCGACGTT